CGTTCGCCGACCGAGTACTTTCTTTCCGCTGGTGACAAGGTACGAGACGCGAAAGCCACTGTGCGAAGCTCATGGCCATTTTGCTGCTGCAGATCGGCTCCCAGCCCACAGTCAGAAGCGTCGGTCGACACGATGACTGGAAGTGATGGATCGAACATGTGGAGAACTGTACTTGAAGAAAGCATTTCCTTGACCCTCCGGAAACTGCTGTCTGCTTCGGCTGACCAGATGAATGGCTCATTCTTGCGAAGCAGAACGCGCATAGGCTCGACCACCTGGGCCAAGCGGGGAACAAACTTGGAATAATATTCTACAAGACCCAGGAATGAACGGAGAGCAGCAACATCGGTTGGCACTGGAGTGTTAACTACCGAGTCTACTTTCTCTGGAAGCGGCGAGATACCTTGTGCAGTGACCTTATGCCCTAGGAAAGAAAGTTCTGGAACGTCGAAGAGGCATTTGTCGTTCAATTTCAGGCCTGCGGACTTGATTTTCTGCAAGACCTTTGTTAGGTTCAAAAGGTGTTCTTCTGCACTTTTCCCAAAGACTATCACGTCATCAATGTAGAACATCACACCAGGGCAGCCATCCAGAATTGTGGCCATCATCTTCTGAAATGCCGCTGGGGCGGAAGCTAACCCAAAGCAAACTCTTTTAAACCGAAAAAGTCCTTCATGCGTGATGAAGGCTGTCAGGTCCCTGCTGTCAGGGTGCAAAAGAACCTGATGGTAGGCAGAAGCCAAGTCAAGTTTTGAGAAGTGTGTCGCGCCTACCAAGGCATGAAGGAGTTCCTCTGTATGAGGCAATGGGAAGCTGTCTGGTACAACAGCCTTGTTAGGCTCCCGGAGGTCAACACAAATTCTGATGGTGCCGTCTTTCTTGTCAACGACAACAATGGGCAAAACCCATTCGGAAGCATCGATGCGTTCGATGATGTCAAGGCTCAACAACCTGAGAAGTTCATTTGACACGGGTTCCTGAAGTGAATATGGAAGACGGCGCAGCTTCGAGGATACCGGCTGCACGCCTTGCCGAATCTTGACACGATGCGTGAACCGCTTAGCAAGACCCAACTCGGGACTGAAAAGTGAACCGAAGTCGTGTTCCAAGGCTGGCGGAAAGTTTGCTTGCCTGGGTTGCTCTATTGACTGCATCGGAGTGTGACAAAGTGTCGGGTCATTAACACGCGGCGGCGGGGCAACGGACGTGTGCAGGCACTCAAGGGTGGAGCCCTGTATTCGAAGATTTAGGGCCTTAATGCCGTCAAGGCCTATCAGACAAGTTCCTTGGCGAACGATGTAGAAAAGAAGTGGTGCAGAGCGCCCTTTAAACTGAACATCTGCTTGGAAACAACCTAGCACGGAAATTGGCCGCTTCGAATAGTCAAATAAGGTGACATGCGGAGCTGGGAGGAGCAAACTGCTTTGAAAATGTTGGTGAAATTCTTGCTCTGATAGGATTGAAACAGACGACCCTGAGTCAACAAGGAATGACAACTTGACATCCGCTACGCATACTTGTATGTAAATTGCGCTGCGAGCAGAATGCTGCACAGTCAAAACTTGCTCAGAGCTTGCCCCTGACAAAGCATCGTCATCGATGCCAACTTCACGAATCCTGCCTTGCATTTGACGCTTGCGGTTGCATACTTTCTGAAAGTGGCCCTTGATACCGCAAAACAAACACTTCTTTCCCTGCGCAGGGCACTGTGACGCTGATGCGCGGTGATTCCTCGAGCCGCATCGGAAACAGTGTGGTGAAACGGACCGGCTATCTCTGTCTCGCCGAGGGGGGCGGGGCCCCGGCGGCGCACGCGAACCGCTAGCGCTTGGAGAGTTTTGCTGAAAATGCGCTTTTGGCTGGAAATTGAATTTTCGCGAAGAATGCGAATACTGGGAACGACGCCGTACAGAAACAGGCTTGACCGAAGCAGAAAATTCCTTCAGCTCTTCAGCTGCTTGCTCAAACTGAAGAGCGATCCGCACTGCGCTCTCGAACAAAAGGGAGGAACCCTCGAGCAGCAACCGTTCACGTACGCGGTTGGAAACAACGCCGGCAACAAATCGGTCCCGCAGAGCATCATCTTGTGAAGCGAACGAACAATGCGAAACGAGCTCCCGTAAAGCAGCAACAAAGTCATGAACGGACTCGCCTGCGTGTTGGCTGCGGCGGTGGAAACGATGACGCTCGACGACGACGTTACTTGACGTGGAAAACTGCTGCCGTAAGGCGCTGAGTGCAGCCTTGTACTCGTCAGTAGCGGCCGCGAGAGGCTTCTCTTGTACTTCCGGTGCTGCGGCATTTGACCCTGCAGGTAAAGTCCGGTAAACACGCTGCCCTTCCGCCCCTAAACAATGCAGAAGAATGGCCTTGCGTCGCGCTGGTGGGAACTCAGCTGCTCCGGACGCTAGGAGGTAGACTGTTAAGGTCTGCTCCCACTCCTCCCATGGAAGTGATGGCCGGCCGGGCATTGGGAGGAACGGCGGCGGCGGAGCAAGGCCGGAGAAACTCATGGCGGGGCGGACCCGGACGACACTCGATGCTGAAGGTAGCTTGACGTGTTTATCCCATTCTCGTCGCCAATGTGGTGTTTGCGAAAGACGTAAGAAGCACCGGCAGCACCACCGTACGAAAAGACGTTTATTGTACGCAACACATCGAATATGTACATAAAAGACAGATGCGCCCCCTGGGGGTGAAAGAACACAAAGTAAAAACCGAAACTGAATATAACAGCCACGTCCACTGTCGTATGCCCTGACAGATGGAGTAACTCAAGAAATCCATGGACTAAGAAGAGATTCCATTCTTGTTCCAGTCAAAACAGCAAAGTGGGCTGCACCTATTATTCCTGTGACCAAAAGGGATGGACGCATCAGAATCTGTGGAGACTTTGGTGTCACCATAAACCCAGTGGCAACAGTGGAGCAGTACCCCATTCCAAAGATCGAGGATCTGTGGACTGTGCTTGCTGGAGGTGAGAAATTCACAAAATTGGATTTGCGAGATGCATACCAGCAAGTTGTCCTTGACGAGGCCTCTAAGGAGTACGTCACTATTTCAACGCATATGGGGTTTTTTCAGTATACCTGGTTGCCTTTTGGCTTCTCATCTGCTCCTGCCATATTTCAGCGCGTGATGGAGAACTTGCTCAGGGGACTGCCCCATGTTGCAGTCTATTTCGACGACATTCTTGTGACTGGCGCAAATGATGCTGAGCACCTTCGCAACCTTTGTGCTGTGCTTAGCAAGCTTCAGGAATCTGACCTCTAGCTGAAACTTCAAAAATGCCATTTCTTCGTGCCACAAGTCGAGTATCTCGGGCACATCATCAGCAAGGAAGGCCTTTCCCCGAATGTTGACAAGGTAGCAGCCATTCTGCATGCTCCTGTGCTTCAGGATGTCAGGGAACTTCAGAGTTTCTCGGGACTTGTAAACTTCTACAGGCGCTTCTTACCCAATATTTCGTCACTCCTTCGTCCACTGCACTTGCTTCTTTATGAAGGGAAAAAGTGGAAGTGGGGACATGAACAACAAAATGCATTTAATGCCTGGAAGCACTTGGTGACATCAGCTCCAGTTCTTGTGCATTTCAACCCTGCCGGGCCTGTTTGCCTCAGCTGTGTCGCATCGCCTTATGGTATAGGTGCAGTTCTCGTGCACAAAGATGCTGATGGCAGGGAACATCCCATTGCTTTTGCCTCGGGGAGCTTGTCAAAAGCAGAACAAAACTACAGTCAACTCGACAAGGAGGCACTGGCTTTAGTGTTTGGTGTGGATCGGTTCCACCAGTACTTGTGGGGCTTCTCATTCGAAGCACACACTGACCACAAGTTACTTTTTGGACTGCTGGGTGCCAACAAGCCCGTTCCCGTGCAAGCTTCGCCTCGAGTGGTCAGGTGGGCTCTGAAGCTGTCTGCTTACAAGTACGAACTTGTATACAAGCCTGGCAAAGAGCTCGGCCACGCTGATGCTCTTCGTAGACTGCCTCTCCCAACTGACACTACTGCATTACCACGACCTTCTGAAATCTTCTTGCTAGAGGAGGCATATCCGAGACTCCTTTCACCAGTTGTTGTGGCCCAAGCCACACAAAATGACCCAGTTCTGTAACAGTAGTGTAAGCATTTTCTATTCATTTCGAGGCTTTACACAAGCAGGTTCCTGCAGAATAGCATGGTAATCGACTAAACACATTCACTTTTCTATATGCACAATATCTAGATGGTCCCACCTTATTGTAAGTTTCACTGTATATAAACAGGAAGAAACTAGGAAAATGTGTTTTTTGAACAGGAGTTTATTTACCGAAAAAGATGTATGCACACACAGCACTCAAGTACAGACGCCATTCAGATTAGAAAAAGTTGTCTCATTTAGCAAGATGGTCTATTCGACTTCACGTATTTTCTGTGCCAAGAATTTCAACATTGTTGCTTTCTTGGCACCATCGTTTACTTTTGTTGATTGTTGTTGATGGTTTTAACTTCTTTTATTCGCTTGATAGGTTATTCGCTGACGCAGTTATCTCTGCAGTTATTGCAATAGATAAGCTTCACTAGGCAAGTTCATCTTTGCCCGATTTTCATTAGCTTGCAATCTGTCAGAAACAATAGCTGTCTCCCGGATTTTTTCTCGCAGTTTACTTGCAAATGGATTTTGACAATGTGTTTTCATGCTTTGGTTTTTGCTGGTAAAATGCTTGTGCCTTGATTACTGAAAGTAAACAGTTGGCAGCCTGTGAATAGGTGTCATGTTCACCCCTTTCTCCTGACCTTGTTTCTCGTGCAGTTTTAACGTTGCTCAAAATACTCTGTCATGACTGCATTGTGTGTAGCAAAATAGTATTTTCTGTTTAGGTCGTGGGTTTTTATTAAAATATACTTATTGCTTAAGTCGTCTGACAACTATTTGTTATCATGATCTCTCTATTACACTTAAGTTGTTTTTTGGCGCTCAGTTTGCCTACACTCTTTTGTACCAACTTCTCTCGCTGTTAGGCCATGAACAATACTTGGATGGAGGCACAGCTGAGCGTCTCAAGGAGTTCAACAGGAGCTCACACTCAGAAGGAAATATCCCAGGCTAACATCCAAGTTTCTGGTGCTGCCGAGAAAGACCCTATACAAAAGGCAAGTAATGAGAGATCTTATACAATTTACTTTAGGCAGTGTGGTATGTGCCAGACAGAGTGTCACAACAAAATGTTTTTGTAGCAATGCCTGGGCTTCCTCATATATATGGTTTTATTATGGTTAAAGCAGCACAACAGACAAAAAAAAAAAGACGCAACGACCACTTACTGTGGCAACTGAAAGGTTTCATGCTCTGTCATCTGTGCTATGGCAACAGTCAACTTCCCATCCGTTTTATTGGTGTGCTTTTGAACATAGGAATGTTAATCAGCTCCACTCGTAGCTGTAATGGTGAGCGTCGAACAAACTTTTTTCACTTGCTAGCATCATATAGCATGTGATCTTTCTACGAGCTGGCAGCTGACATAATGATTTAGATTTTTAGGGAATGAAACATTCCTTTCACAATTTTATAAACTTTTGTATTCCATTTTTGATGGTTAAAATACACTCTCTTAATTACTTCATAAGTTGTTTGACAGCTTGTGATGTTTGCTTTTTAGAGGGCATTGACTGTAAATTCTCACTTTTTTTTTATGTCAGTTTCAGAAATAGCCCTATACTACGTGCTAAAAAGTTACAAGCCATCACTTGCAACTGCAGCCGAGCTCGCTTATAACGAACCTGAGCGTGACGCCGCATCCGTTCGCTGTATCCCGAAGTTCGTAGTAAATGAAACACAGCTTTTTAAAAAAGTTGCGAGTGAAAAGACAAACTTTTTTTGCCCCGAAAAGTCCGTGATGCGCTTGTTTCAAATAGCAGAAGCGACAAGGGCGGTCTCGAGTTCATTTGATAAGGCACAGTGCTCGTTCGCCGAGGCCCTGGCATAAGCTGCATGAGGCACTGGCTCCAAAGTTTCGTCGTTCTCGCAGTCCGATTCCTCCAAATCGCTCTCGCCATGTACTTCATTCACAATGGCCCAATCCGTGCATGATTGCGCAGTGTCGGCGCCATCATCGGCCATAGTTAAACCATCGCAACAGATGTCCCACCCGCTCTCCCAGGTCGGAGTCGACGACGCTCTGCCACAAATCGCCGCCGCAGTTCGGAAGCTTCAGGCTCGGCATCGGGCCTTGCAACGACGAAGTCGGCCTCGCGAAAACAGTTTTGCGCGCCTGTAGCCGTCACCATCACCCACGAAATATTCACCATCTCCAAAGCTGAATACCGGGATGCCCGAAACGGTAAGTTGGCTGCCAGGTGGTCAACAGCTATGAGCAAGCGCTCCGCAGCGCGGCACCTAATACGCGGATTACGCTCAAGCCAAACGGTCATGCCTTTGACGTTTTGTTGAGCGGCAGGAAAAAGCGTGCTAGTGCTCCCATCAGCCATCGTGACCACACTTGATCATCAAGAGTGAGCAAGACGGGCACACGCGACACACATGCCAGAACGTGTGGAACAGCTCTGGGCCCGTTTCCAGTCGGAAAACAAAACTAATTCGAGCCAGCGTGACAAGCGTCGCAGAGTGGTGGAGACGGGCGAAGGGGTTGTGATCAAGAGAGGTGAGCAGACCTGGGATAGAAGGGCAAGGAGTTGCAATAAAGAAAGGGGAGCATGCGGCAGGAGGGCGACCTTGAAAACCAAAACACACCGGAAGGAGGCAGGTTGGGTAGCTTGCTTGAAAGGTCCGCGAAACTCGCACGTAAGAAAACTTGGAAAGAGTGCCTGCGCACGCAGAGGTCAAAGCACAGCCGCCTGGACCGGCGTGCGAGGCAGTGTTCGAAGAATCGGCGGCCGTGGTCAAAAAGTCGTTTTGTTGTGCCGGCGGGTTTGCGTGGACTCACGAACTTCGATATTTTGTGATTCGTTCCGCACAAATTAACAGCCGTTTTCGCGCTTACGCACGCGCGTGGAATGCGTGCTGAGCTAAGTGTGAAGTGAACGAGAAGAATTCCTAAACACGAAACGAATCGCAAATTATCAGAGTCGGTGGAGTAGCATACACGGGTGCACTAGACGCAGACTATCGGATACAGTTGGTGACCGACGATGTTGGCAAATGATCTGGTCACTCCAGGCCGGCGACGCCAACGACAGTACCAAGGATCGAAAACAGAGTAGATGGCCGACCGGTCTTCAAAAGATCGGTGGCAGTATTATAACACGGGCCTCGTCTGGCGATGCGGGGTGCTCAGAGTAGCGGGGGGACAAAGGACGGAGGGATGTGTAACAAAAAGCAGTCAGGGCATGGAGGAAGGAAACAGCTTTCCTTCCTCCATGGGTTGGGGAGAGCGGCAACGCCAGGGTTGCAGAGGCAGGGTTGGCGTTTAACAATAAGAATGTATGGTCACCTTGCCGATGCCTGACATGTGGTCGAAATTGGTTTCCCGCGAAGTTGGCAGACCGCCGACTCCGTTCGCTCTAACTGATCACCTGCGCTCGGAGACGTTCGTTGTGCGATTTTATGCTATTGAACCAATGTATATTTTCACGGTCACAAGGATATTGTTCGTTTTTAGCGAAAGTTCATTTTAAGTGGGGCCGTTATATGTGAGCTTGACTGTGTACACTTAACTTTAGGTCACTATAATATTGCTTAAGTTTGCCAGATTAGTGCAAATTGTTCTCAATTTTTATCAGTACTTCAGCTAAATTATTGTTTGGGCTAGAAGTGTTTATGTGAAATAAAAGTATGAGCTTTATTAAATTGTTATCTTAAGTTGATTGATATGCGGGGTTTAATGTCCCAAAACCACCATATGATTATGAGAGATGCCGTAGTGGAGGGCTTGAAAATTTCGACCGCCTGAGGTTCTTAACGTGCACCCAAATCTGAGCACACGGGCCTACAACTAATCCGTCTCCATCGGAAATGCAGCCGCCGCAGTCGGAATTTGAACCCGCGACCTGCGGGTCAGCAGCCGAGTACCTTAGCCACTAGACCACCGCAGCAGGGCGTTATCTTGGGTTGCTGTGGCAAATGTGCACTGATTAAGTTTTCTGACTGGAGTAGGAATTGAACTAACTTTAGTAAAACTTGTTGTTGGGCTAGTTGGTGCATGTTACAAGAGAACAAAATGACTTAAGCCATCGGGGAAGAATTTTCTTTCCCCGATTCTTCCCCAGTGGCTTGCGTTGTCTAGTTTTCTTGTAACTGAAGCAACACCTTTTTTTTTTTTTTTTGTGACGAATATACTAATAGGGTACTTTTTTTTGTGGATATTGTCACGACGTCAAAACAGAGGTCTTGCCGTAGAGACTGAGACACCAGAAGCAGGTTGATCTTTTTAATTATAACGCGCAAGCGAGTTCTTCTTCTTCGTCCATTTCGTAGTCCTTCGTGGCACATGCACAACTGTCATCGTCTTTCTTGGGCAAGCACGTGACAATATAAATCAGCTATGCATTCCTTTTTTGTTAGTGAAACGAGTAATGTATATAGTTGCTTTGTTTCACTAAGCCTAAAATGGTGATTAACATGTGCTGTTAAAAAAAAACTTTTAATGAAACTTTTGGTAGTACGCATTGAGCGTTGAGTCCGCGAGGCCTTTATTAAAAAAACGAACACAGGTCAAGCGCTCAGCGATCCGAATCGAAGCTATCACGAGCACGAACCACGGTCCTCTTCCTCGTCTTTTGCAGGCACTGCTAATTGCACCTTATCTATTCTACAAATCACTCCCCCGCGAAAAAGGAGCCATCCTGGTGACCTAAGACACAGGTATGACTGGTGGGTCATAGTGTGGCTTCAGTCGGTCGACGTGAACAGTCTCACGGCGGCAACGGCGGCGGTCTGTAGATGACTGTACGGGCTCGACAGTATAGCTTACCGGGGATGCTTGACGCAGGATGCGGTAGGGGCCTTCAACTTAGGCAGCAGCTTTGAAGAAAGGCTTGGAGCTGAGGAGGCAACGCGAAGCCACACCAATGTTTCAGGCGAATATGACTGGGGATGCAGGTTGGCCTCATGGCGGTCCTTCTGGTGTGCTTGGTCTTGTGTAGTTAACGAACCTGCTAGCTGCCTGCATTCTTCTACATAGGTGGCGACTTCTGAGAGAGTTGCAGACTCTGAAGTATCCGGGCGATACAACAGAATGGTATCCATAAATGAAGAGGGTTCATGGCCATATAGAAGAAAGAAGGGAGAAAATCCAGCCGTGGACTGAGTGGCGCTGTTGTACGCATAGGCGACAAATGGTAGTATGTGGTCCCAGTTGGTGTGGTCAGCAGATACATACATGGACAGCATTTCGCCTAATGTGCAATTAAAACGTTCAGTCAAGCGATTGGTTTGGGGATGGTACGCACTGGTCATTCGATAAACAACATTGCATTCACGCAGGAGGTCTTGTACGGCTTCTGAGAGGAACGTGCATCCGCGGTCGCTGAGTAACTCGCGAGGAGCGCCGTGGCGAAGAACAAGTCTGTGAAGAATAAATAAGTTGACTTCACGTGATGTAGCCTCTGGCAGCGCGGCAGTCTCAGCATACCGTGTCAAATTATCAATATCGACAACCACCCAGCGATTCCCGTCAGGTGTGTATGGAAGTGGGCCGTATAAGTCGATTCCGATGCGATCGAAAGGTCGGGATGGGCAGGGCAACGGTTAGAGCGGTCCAGTGACGGCATGCGGTGAACTCTTCCGGCGTTGACATTTTGAGCATGAACGCACGTATTGGCGGACAAATCGGTACATTCCACGCCAGTAGTACCGCAGCCGGAGGCGTGCATATGTCTTTATTACACCAGTGTGGCCGTATTGGGGGTCCGCATGGATCGAGGCACAAATATCGGCACGTAGATGGCGAGGAGTCACCAACAACCACTTGCGACCTTCACTGAGGTAATCGCAGCGGTGAAGTAGCTCATCGCACATAATGAAATGATGAGCTGTGCGCCGCAGCGAGCGACTGGCGGTACTCGGTGATGGCTTCGATAGGAACTCCATTAAAGACGCTATCCAAGGGTCTTGACTCTGCTCGGATAGCATGTCAGCGTGTGTGAGGGAGGCAGAATTGTACTTAAAAACAGGCGCATTTGCACAGTCATGGGGA